AAAAAAAAGGCATGGTGCTTTTCTTTATCAATTTCCCAGGGACTTCGCTTTCAGTTTTATTTCCTACAGAATACAAAGGAATCCACACAGAGCTGTTGTGGGGAAACCTCACATCATAGCTGGGCCCCGTCATCCTAGATAGATGCGTACCCAGTAAAACTTTTCTCCGGCCTTTGCTTGAAGAAGGCCCTGGTGAGTTTGTGAAAAGCAATGCCCTGCGTTACATTTCTGTGCAGGAGAGGCCACTCCTTCTAGTGACGGTGTGACTAAAGGATGTGCTGAGATGGACAACACTCCAGATCCTTTCCATGCCAGGTCGTCTACCCTCAGTCGTGACGTGCCTTTCAGTGCAGGAGTAGACCATGCCCATAAAGCCTCCTTCGCTGCTGCTGACTGACTCTGGGTTCCCAGCCACTACTCTAAACCACACACAACAGGATCTTACACCGGCCTGGGGAGACATCTGTGGGATGACTTTTCCTAGAGATTCAGAATGCCCCTCTCCATTGGTAGAATGTGTCCCTCCATGTTGGTGTCCTGCAGACACAACCCCAGCGCAATGTTGTTGACATTGACAGCATCTTGAAGGCTCTGGCTTCCTGACCGGATTAATGCTATTCTGGCCGCAGTAGGTTCCCAATAAAAGGATAAATACTGCCTTCCTTTTCCCTCATCCTCTCTTCCTCTCTCCTTCCTTCTCTTCCTCTCTTGCATGTCTTCTGCCATGGGGTGGTACAATAGGAAGGTCTTCACTAGATATGGACCCCTAATCTTGGAATTGCCAACCTTACTTGTTAAAGGTTTCCTAGCATCAGGTGTTCTGTTACAGGAGCATAAAATGAAGTAGAAGCCTCCTTCCCATTTGGACAACTGTTTTTTTCTAATCTAATTTGATAACATTGCTTAAGTGGTTACCTGTAAAGGATATTTCCTATGCCCTCAAGTCATTATCATAAAAATGAGTGTGTTTCTTCTTCTTCTTCTTCTTCTTCTTCTTCTTCTTCTTCTTCTTCTTCTTCTTCTTCTTCT